CGCTCACTCTAAGTCAAAACGATTGCCTCATTCTTGAATTGGATCGGGGACCCTTTACCCAAACAGGACCAAGTTCAACTTGTCCGAGATAGACATGGTGGGAATCAACTCGCTGTATTCAAGATTGGCATCACCCATTGCCTGCAAGTGCGTGTCCAGTATTACTACGAAAATCACTTTTCGGAGATGTGTTGCATCCATGCCAGTAATTCGCTTGCCCAAATTGAAACCCTTGAAGCATGTTTGATAGACCTGTATGCAAGTGCAGGACCCGGACCATGTCGTAATGTCGCAAAGGGTGGAGAAGGCATGCGGACCAAATCAGGTGCACCTAGGAAACAACCTCCTTATTATTTGTACATTGTTGCGGCAAATGCTTCGCAAATGAAACGAATTGGAGGTTGATATAGTTCCTTTTGCTCAGAGAAAACACCTAATTAGGGAAGAGGGCAAGGAAATTCCAGCCTGCTGACCAACGCTTGGGCGAACAAAACAAAATGCGTGCTTGATTGAATGAGCTAAAAAAAATCTCTAGTGAGACCCCCCCGAAAATGTCCATGTTCTGAGGGTCCTCCAAAGAAGCAACACTAGATGCTGACAGGTCAAATGGAATTTTTCCCTGGTGTGTTTGGGCTAGACCCCACACTGCGTTTTTGTCTTTTCCCTTCGGTTCAAATTCCACCCCTAAGCGGTTCCTGATTCTTTTTGCACTGGCTCCCACCCAGGCTTTCAACATGCGGTTGGAAAACGAGGAGCTGAAAGGTGGCTTCAAGACTGAGATGTTGTTCTACCACTCAGTGCAATGGCTCACGAAGGACTCATTTGGCCACGTGCGGCTCTTGCGTCAGATCACCGATGCATGGACCCAGCGAAAGTTTGGGCACGCAGGCCACAAGTTCAGCATGGAATTGCCAGAGCTTTCTCAGGAAGAGGTGGACAGCATCCCAGGTGGCCGTGCGTCACTGGGCAGCTTTGACGAGATGCGCTTTGAAATCCTCGAGCGCGTTGGCAATCGCATGGTGATAAAGAGCGACGAACATAAGTTTCTTGACTTCGAACATGGTTGTTGACTGTTAAGTGATTTGGATTTGGTTGGGTAAACATAACGTCTGTCCCCTTCCACGTGATCTTTTTCCTGTTCATCACAGGTCGTATTGGTTCTGAAAATTCAGAATCATCTGTGTAGCAAACAAAGTTCATTTTAATTCCGATGCATTCCAACCTTGGCTGCTACAAGGTACTGGAGCGGGCAGACTGGCGCTCTCTTGGCTGAGTATGAGGACCTGCGACAAGGTCACCTGGAGCTGGTGGGCCAGTCATCAGCTGTGGCTGTGGTTGCTGCGGAAGGCCAGGCAACCACCGAGGAACCGACATCCACTCCGGCCAGGCCCACATTCGTGGAAGTGGAAAGTTTGAGCAAGCTGGAGGAAACCCATGGTGGCATAGAGCTGAAGGTCAACAGCGAAGCCGGTGGAGTGGAGCTCATTCTCTGCAAGGACGGCACGATTTGGCTTCTGTGTGGGCAGAACCGAACAATCCCCAAGCATTCAGTGCTGGCCGGCTTCGGGACAGGACAATGGCTTCCGGAAGCAGAGTGCACTGATGGTGGTGTCCCATTTGCGGTTCCACATGGAGACCGCACGCTGGTGCAAATTGATGAGGCCTCCTTCTCGACTGAGGCGCAGGGGAATCAAACCCTGACCTTGTACAAGCTCCTTCTCAGAGCGGAGACTGAAAAGCAATTGACTGAACACCGCGTGTCCTTCTTGAAGGTGGAGCGGAAGGCTACGGTAGAAGCTGGCCAGGATGGCTTTGAGGTCACCATCAAGAATGGCATGACCTTCAAATGCTTGAGGGACCCACGAACTCAACAAGGAGAAGAGCGATTGACGTCGAAGAATTTTTTCTCGAAATGCTTGGCTTCGCTTCCCAGGGAGACGGCCATGGTTGTGTTCAGGTTTCGCTATGAGAGGGTTGGGCAAAATTTTAAGATTCAGCGGCCATACGTCATTGCCAGCGTTCCCATTAGTCTCAGGAAGGACGTGCCATTAAAGCTGTCCTAGGCTGTTATAGCTGCAGTGTGATGTGCGGGATTCTGGGGCTGAGGAACTCGACAAGCAAGCTCCAACTATCCAATCTCTTTTCCAAGCTCATTGAACCATTGTTTCCAGGGCTGCTTTTGAAGCTAAGTTCAGGAATCCCCCTCGGAATCAATTTTGGTGGATGAACTTGATTGGGAACACCCCAATTTGACCCTGGATGCGAGCAGGCTGCAATCCCATGATAGATGAACTTTCAATCTAACTATGATGCGTCTTTTGCTTTTCTTACATCCTTCAAACTCTTCGTTTCAATACTTACTGTACTGACCCCATTCCTATGAACCTACCTTCTACTGTTTGGTTTCCACTGTACAGCAGGTGCACGCACGGAAACGGTGACTAGCGCTCAGCAGCAGTTCCTGAACGGAACTCGCCCAGGTTAGCTTCGACTGAGTTAGGTGTCAGTCTTTGATCTTGGGCGAGTACATCAGGCCAAGTGAAAAAACTTGCGGTGTCAACCTGCTCGGATGCTCGCTGGTCTCACCATCCTTGAGATTTTGAAGTAGCATATCATATAGTACTCTAAAAGTCAACTTGGGCCAACATGGGGAAACTGGTTGGCTCAGAAGACATTTATTGACATACCATACATTAGATCTGAAACCACTGATGCTCTGTTTTGCAGCATGCAGCCTTTGCGAATCCCCGTCTATCACCAGCCATTTAGAAATCAGAGTCAGTTTTTGTTGGCAGCCCCACGAAAAATGCCTCCTGTCACCTACGCTGATGTCTTCACCTTGTGGGAGGGCATGATGGGGTTCCACGGCTTGGAGGAAATGGCCAACCGGGCTAGCTTTCAACATGAATCTCTCCGGGAGCTTCTGATGAAGTTGACCCCAATATGGTCCGACAACCCTGACCAGCTTCAAGCTGCGGTTGACACGGTGCAGATCTTGACAATATGCCAGAGCATGACCTTCAAGTGTCAAATGGATGGTGAGGGCCGTGTGCGAGAAGGGGCCTTCCAGCTTTCTACATGGGTTGAAGGCTCGCAGGTCTTCAACGTCCCACAGCCAAGGCCACGGGCATCTCTGCGCGCCAAGCTCGCCGACTACACCAAAACTGATCATTTGTTTCGCATGCTTTCTAGGGAGGTTAAGCTTGCCCGGATTGAAGCAAACAATATCATCACCCAGTGTGACTCTTTCCAAGTCCCCGAACTTAAGGGGCGATTTGAACATATTGATGTCATGCTGGATGATGTCCAAACAGTGCTTCGCACCCTGGGGTAGAGTAGAGAGGCTGACAACAAGTCTCTGTAGCACGGAGGCCTTCTCATAGCCCAAAGGGGTCAGGCTCTCCTGGTTTTGGACGATATGTTGTGAGAAAATTAAATGAGATTCAATCCCATTTGGCCATAACAAACCTCACCTATTATATCCTATTATCAAGAATGTTCCAGGGAAGTTGATAGGGCGTTACACGTACTTGGGGTTCAGTGCTGTGAGGATTAGTTTTTTGATGTAAAGCTGATTCGCAGCCATGGATAAAGCGTGAAAGAATTGAGTCAACTTTCTTAAGCACAGGTTGTGTTGTGACATGCATTGGGGAATCAAAGGCTTCGGCTCAAGTTTTCCAGCGGTGCTTCATTAGCACCATGACACTTGAATTTGACATAGCGGCCAGGATTTTTGCTTTTCAGGGCCATACCGATGCTCAAGCTCCTACTCCAGTGGCACGCGCCACATCTTCAGCTCCTACTGCAGCTCCTACTGAGGTCATTGAAGAAACGCCATCTCCAAAAGCATCGGCATCTCCGGACGGTACGCGAAGAGGGCGGGGACGTGGACGGGGCAAGGGCAGAGGCAGAAGAGGCAACGCACCGACACCGAAAACTATGCCATCTACAGGTTCCTCATTGTGGTTAAGAACTGAGTCTCTAATCACCGTCATCATGTTGAACAGTATTTATTTTTATTGTCACACCTAATAGGCTCATTTTGTTGGAGTTGGAGCCTGAACCAACGGAACTTTGGGAACCTTCAGGATTTCAATAATTTTACCATCGGGCGTGTTGACTAAGGTTTGAAAGCTGTCAAGCGACCAGCAGCGAAGGCTTTCAAGCGACCTGCGGGACCTGAAGGACCTACACCATCAGCTCGAGCGAGTGCACCTCTACCTGTTCTGAAGCGCCCTGAAGCTTCACCACTGAAGACCCCTGTAGCTGTTGAAACATCGAAGACCCCTGAGAAGAAATTGGACTCACATGCAGAGGGGGAAGAAGAGGACCCGAAAGATGACGACCCAATACTTGAGACAGAGGAACTGGAACCCCCAAAGAAAAAACCTGCCATTGCCACTAACAAGAAGGCTGCCTCAAAGAAATCTGCTCCACAGAGAGGAGAGATTGTTCAATCCATTGACAAACCAAATGGATGGAAACTTCTTCAATACAGGACGCCCAAAGGTCGTCTGTATTGGAAATGGGTGGCAGCGGATGGGGAATATTTCTTTAGCAAGACCAAAGCTGTTTCATACGGCTACAAAGAGTGATGGCCGCAATTGAATGAAAGACGCTTGGAGAGACGGAAGCCTGTGGGAGGAAAACATGCAGTTGAACAGTGCTCATGTTCACTTCGCTGCACCGCGAAACCCGAAAGAACCACAACCTGAAAAGACTAACTTTCCTGGAACATTCTTGTATATATAAAATATATAAAATATATATTAGTACGCAGCTTGGAACCACATCCCAAAATTTGAACTAACTCTGAATGACTGTGACTTGAAGATAGAACCTGGTTTCACCAGATTAGCAAGCAGACAATCGTCGTCGCCAAGTCACATGGATAGGGCTCGCATGACATTCCATCCAAGGCATGCAAAGTTGCAAACATTTGTGATTACCCGTTAATCATCACGAATTCATCCCTCAACCTTTCAGTGCTTTCGACTGAGGCTGAAGGCGTGCGTCGCTGGCAGCGGGAGAAAGAGATGGTGCGACGTCCTCCGTCCGCGACGTCCTCCGTCGGCGAACTTGACTCTGGGGACGTGTGGCCCAGATTTGACCTCAGGTGGGTCAATGTGGGGCGTGTGACGTGTGTGTATTAATTACTATAGGTGATGGTTTCGGATGTTTTTGTTTTCAACCCTTGCCTGGGGATGATTGGACGCTCTGACTCATATTTTTCAAGTGGGTTGAAAATACCAACAGGAAGATCTCCCAGGTCGACCCCCTGGAAGAAAGAACCGAAGTCGACCAGTGCCGCACTGCAAGTTCGTTCCTCCCACCTTTGCGATTGGTCCAGGGGGTCTCCCGAAGATACTGATACTGTACCCAAGTGCTTGAGTCATGGCGCCAGCCATGAGAGGGTGGACGTCCCAACAAAAGACCAAGGGATCTGTTCATTTGACCCGGGGTTTGGCCCAGGGTGCCTGGTTTTTGTTTGACCCACAGCCTTGTCTTCCGAAAAGCGCAAGGTGAGGGGAGACAGCTGTTTTCACAGTTCTCAAGAGACCCTTCACCCTTTGCTTATGGAGCGATTTCGATGGGTCCAAACATTTCTCATCGACCGTGATTCAGTTCAGGGACAAACCTGCGATGGTTTGGTTTGGTGCTTTTTTGGGGATAAACCGCATGGCTAGACGCTAGAGATTTGAGCACCAGCTAGTTTCAGCAGTACAGACTCCCAAAAAGATTGACAATTGTTTTGCACAAAGCGTGGAGAAGGCACACAGCGACCAGTATTAGCATCATTAGCACCGAGTCATCTCGTGTCAGAACCGAGTTTTTCGGCGGTCGCAGGATGTCATTGAGTTGGAGAATTACCACCTGCAGGCGATAGATGGGTCCGATAGATGGGGGATTGATGGGTGGTGTGGGAGGTTTGTAAGAAAATTCATCAGCTGAGCGGGAATTTCAGTTCAACACAATCAGGAGTCCATGTTTTTGAGTGAAGGTTCTGCATGGGTTTGGCAGGCAGTCACAGGCTGCTCATCCAATAGGCCAATACATTTTGAGACTCGCACCATCCATGTATGGAATATGATGGAATAGTTACATACTTGTACACCAATGTCTGGTCTGAGACCGGGAGAGTTTCCATGTTGGGAAACACCGATTTCGCACGGAAAAAAAAAACAACTGCTAGACTTCCTGGCGCCAAAAGAAAAACATCGGCGCTGGGTGACACCACACACGTCGGAAGCCGAATGGTCATGCTTCGGTCTCCATGCTTCGGACGCGCGTGTTCTTTTGTCCAAGATGCTGTTGGCAGCCAAGACCCAAATCGCAAAGCACGGGCCAAGTTGTCATGTATGAAAGCTCCTGGAATCGTGAAATCGTGAAAAGAACTCGGGAATACCTCTGGGTGAAGCCAAAGTCCCAGTCACGGCTTTCCAGGAGTCCCATGCTGAGAGATCAAGCATTCGCCGCGAATAGCAACGGGTTTTCACAGAAAGCCAAGCAAGGGTCATCCGAGAATTCAAGGACATAGCCGACTAGATGGTTAGTCTACTCAGAAAGATTCGTCAGTTTTGGGCTTGGTCCCTTTGGGATGCTAGCATAGGTCATGTTCCAAACATTTCCAAACAACCTTGGATTTAGCGCGATGCTAGTCACGATGCTATGCAGGCTGTACATGAGATTGCTTGTTTGTTCCTTCTCTGTATAAGTCTTCATTGACTTCTGAAATGATGTCATACAATGTGGGATCACAACCTTAACTAGAACTGGCCCCTTTGCCGCTGCGTTGATGTTAAGAGCTGAGCTGTTCAGGAGAAGCTGCGCAAAATGGAAGACACATTGAAGAAGGCCCGGTGCGGTCGTGATTGCGGGTTGACCAGACTAACGAAGCAGCCATGTGGCGGCCAAGGCGATGGCCGGTTGGCGATGGTTTGTAGGACCATCCAACTTCAGAGGTCGACGGAGTCGATCCTTTTGCTGCACGGTGTTCCGACGGCTGCGGATTATCAGACTGCATCCGACGGGCCAAGGTCGATTCCGACAGCAGATGCTTGCAACGCCAGATCCAGGAGCTTCAACGGCTCAACGGTTGGTTCTTTGCTGGTTCAAAGTAATAGCACAAGCAGGCACCACTCATCGAACTCCATGGATCTTGAGGCCGTTGTTCGGACTGTCATGGACTGTCGGTTGTGTCAAAAAGAGATGGGTGTGTGTGTGTGTGTGTGTGTCAAAAAGAGGAGGGGGTTGGGGGTCTCCTCATACACACAGATATAATTATTAGCATATGATATGGCTCGAATCTATTTCTTTGTTCTCAGATGCGCTACGAGACAGACGGGCTGAGCCCTGAGATCCAGGAAGACATCCGCGCCCAGAACCGCTACAAGGTCGAACTTCAGCATGTCTAGAGCTTGGAAACTGAACTTTGGGGATCTTTGGGGTGGGAAATGACATCGAGGTGTGCTTTTCCCCCTCCTGTTTTATGTCAGCTGCCGTGCTGTTCTCCTCCTCCTTTCCTCCTCCTCCTCCTCTTCCTTCTCCTCGTCCTCCTCAACCACGAGTGTCGGATGGCAGTTTTCCCTGCCAGGCCTCAACCGCCAGCTCCGGACGGCAGTGTTCCCCGCCGGACCTCAACTGCGAGCGGCGGGCAGTGTTCCCCGCCGGACCTCAACAGCCAGCACCGGACGGCAGTGTTCCCCACCGCACCTCAACCACGAGTCAGAAGATATGCCCAATAGAAAGCCAGAAAGAATGTCAGAAGATATGGCAGATAGAATGTCAGATACAGTGTCAAAAGATATGCCAGAAAGAATGGCAGAAGATGTGCCATATAGAGTGCCAGAATGAATGTCAGACAAGATGCCAGAAAGAATGTCAGAAGATATGCCGGAAACAATGTCAGAAAGAATGTCAGAAGAGATGCTAGAAAGAGTGCTGAGATAGTGTTTCAGTACATGCCAAAAAAATCCGTCAGATTGAAATATGTCATGGTGTTGGTCACTCGAAGTAAAGTATCTCTTTTTGCACAGCAGTTCGATGAGCCCAAAAGAATAGCACGAGATACTGGCCCCGGACAACCTGGACTTGGGTCTGTCTCCTCCATCCAAAGTCGCTGTGAAAGCATTGGAGAAGCTGGCGACCAACCCTTCTTCGTCCAAAAGCCGTTCTCCGGAGAGACCGACTGATCCAGCGGATTCCGACCGGTCCAGACCGTTCAAACATGTTTTCAAGGCCCAGCAACAGCTGGAGACCGCTCACATGGAGACCGATCTCCAACGGAGTCGTGTGGCGGACCTGAAGGACGAGCGGGGTGTCTTCCGAGGTCTTTGGACCCGAGACGTTCGGGGTTTGGGAGGGGAGGCTGTATCAGCACTCCCGGAAGGGAGTTGCAAGACGGAAAAACCATTCCTCAGAGTGGGTCCAGAGTAGATGGCGCAATATCCAAAAGGTTGTTTATATGAAGTAAAGGAAATGCCCGAAGTCAGGTTCCTAAAAATACGTTTTTCATCATTTTTTTACATGACCTCATTGATTCCTAATCTATATTGAACCGCAAATTGCCCTCATTGCAAATGCTTGCGAGGTTGGCACGACTTGGCGACTTTCAAACTTAGCATTTCAAACTGCAGGGATGCAGCTGACAATTGCAAATCTCCCAGTAAATCATATTATTATATAATATGTTATGTGCCATGTAACTTCCTGAAACTCCTCAAAAAACAGTTCAAAGGAGGGTGCATTGGACTTTGCTTCTTAATTTCGCACCTCCAAACAAACACCACGCATTTGGGTGGGTGCAAACTACCTGAACATACCCTTGTCCTGTCGCTTCGGGCTGAAGTACCGTCATCAAACCCTGTCTTCGTCAACAAACATGGTTACATGCCACGCTGAAAGATCAAAGCATCATGTTTGACACGCAGCCAGGGCCCTCATCGTTGTGATGGTTCTTAGAGCAAACCTCCAAGATTGGAGGGAACCATGCATCAATACCCAAAACCGCAGGTAAAAAATCTTTATTTATATTTTGTAAGATCGTTGGGTTGGGTGAAGATCCCCGAGGTAGACCAAGACGTTTGTTGATGTTTCTTTCCACCATCTGAGTGGGTCCAGGATCTTTCATTGATGCTCTAGTTTTGTTGAGTTGAACAATTTTGCACCAAATGATAGGATGTTGATAGGGTTTTCCCCTCCATGGTCACGTTCCCTCAGCTGTACCCCAGGTTGTTTCTTTTTGAATTCATGTGGATGTGGGTCAACCACTGGAATCGTGGTTGACCCACATCCACATGCACAGATTGTAACAGATTCCTCTACAGGAAATGATGGAGCAACTGGAGCTGGAGCTGAGCTTTGTGCCTTGTTACAGACAGAACCAGGTAGCTAGTAGCTGAGCTGGGGGAGATCCCTTAACATCCCCACAACACCGGCGGGACTGGGGAGTGACCAGGACTGGGCGGGTGGTTTTGAGGGTCGGACAACCTGGGTGGCAGAGGGATTGTTGGGTTCAGGAGTGCCTTGGAAACCCAGAGTTGCACCTGTTCATGGGTTCAGGGAAAGCACTGTTCGATGGTTTTTCGGGCTGGCGTATTTCGGACTTTGGTTGTTCTGAGACCAGTCGAAATCAGAAGCTGCCTGCTGCGTGGTGTTTGCAACACAAAATCTGTTGGGTTATCGAGCGTTTGATTCGCCAAGTTGGACATGGCGTGATGTGCCGGTGAGCGACGACCATCCAAGGCCAAGTTGGACATGGCGCCCAAGAAGGGTGACAAGGTGGCGAAGCAGATCGTGAAGAAGTATCATTTAAGCATACAACATGAGCATATTCTGGCTGGTGGAATTGCGGAGGCAAGCAAGCAGGTGTTACACTAACGTTGCGGTAGCCACTCCTTGAGATAGATGTGGGGCTCCTTTTCCAGTATGTGTTACATGCATTCGGCAGAATTGGGATGGCGCCCGTGTTTTCTTCGTCAGGTGAGCTGGCACCCATGGTGGTTCTGTTCGGGATTTGGGGGTGAACATGGGTGAACTGGCCATAGCTCAGCTGCCTATGATTCTTTCACGTCCTGGATCGAACAAGCTCTTAGAGCGTGGCAACCGAGGTGCGTGAAGAGCGCGGCGCTAAGAAGCCCCAGCACACTGTGCGCCGTCCAAGCAAAGAACCACACGGTTTAGCAAATATATCTTTCACCCAATGAATCCTCAGGCCTGCCATTGCAGGGGTCGGACCTTCTCCACCGAAAAGAAAGGGTCAGGACTCGGTTCCCAAACTCTTCCCATTTGAGGGCCTGGATTCTCAGGGCAGGCTTGATATTGATTTGCAGGAATTATACAAGTATTCAGTGCAGAGGGTGGTGATCGTCGTGTGACTGACAGAGTTGGAACAATCCTCATCCCAATCAATGGCACACTGTCATACGATAAGCCATGGGGGGGACGACGGGGATTTCTCACTGTGTGTGTATTTTGACAGGCAGACGCCCTGGCCCTGGCTGGATAGGCTGGTCTATGTTCTGAACTTTCCAGGGGTTCAAACAGGGAGGTCCCTAGTTTGATAGACACCCATGTCTCTTTTGTAAGTTCGTTTGGAGCGGTGCAAGCCCAAGACGCCTCATCTTGGCATGAAAATTATCTTGTCCCGACGAAAGCTAGATAAAGCCAGGTATTTCATACTTCCTGTATCTTCCAGTTGCGGTTCAGGCTTGAGCCACCCTCGAAAGTGGTCTTTCCTCGTGGGAGACAGACAGCACCAGTTTGAACGGAATTGGTAGGAAGCCCATTGTTTTTGGAGGGTGAAAGCCATCGTTTACCCCTTTACACACATCCATTGAAACTTGGGTTTGTCGAGATACTGTATCCTTGCTTGCTGAAGCCCCAAAGAAGATTTCGGCCTGTCACTCCTGTCGGTGGCGTTCTGTCTTCTCCGATGGTAACGATGGTAGGATATTCGAGGTCTGATGCTCCAAGGGTGGGACGCATCAGTGTCGAGGAGGAGGCCTGGAGTTCAGTGTCGAGGCTCAAACTGACCCCACACGACTTGCGGAATATCGATGTCCGCCCCTAATAAACTGACCAGACACGACAAGGAAACCTCAAGCGGTGCTTGACGCGTAATTAGATCTATATATGTGTATATAATATGTTCTCGTTTATTCAAGTAGGATGACATTGCATGACAAAGTAGACAAATGTAGACAATAGCTGCATCAGATTCCACCACTCTACTGTATCAATTTTCCGCTGCACATGGGAGGAACGTGAGTAGCTTGCTGGCTATATATAGTTGTATAATGGACTCGGAAAGCTTTTGGGGAAAAGGGTGCCAGGGGCAGCATTGCCCACAGATAGAAAGCTCTTGGTACAATCATCCTTGCTCTGGAACAGGACCCGGTTGACTGCTTGAATAGCCATTCAAGATAAAACCCGGTCTCTGAGCTCCGGGTACCAACCTCTTTCAGAGGATGTGCAACACAATCCTGATACTTCGACAAGGAGAAGACAGGAGAATTCATTATGCATCCGACATGCATGGTCCACCTTGATCAAAGCATGCAGGATTTCCCAAATAGAATCCAACTGGATGGATTCTTCAGAGAATCTGAACTAGCTTAGTTGGTACATGTCAAGCATTCAATCCATGACAATCCCCCTAACCTCCTGCCATTCCGGCCCGCAGCACGTCTCTTCTCGCAGGCAGACCATCTCTTAAACCAACTGCAAGGCTTTGATCAGATCAAGAGACAGAACTGAAGAAAGTGTGCACATTCTTCGAGACACGCGAAAGAAGTGTTGATGACACTGCCAACAGTAACATTGAGTTTTTAATAGTTTATATGTGTATATATATATCATTAAAGTTCGAACCAGCGTCTAGGGACTGGATTTCAACGGTGTTTCTAGATCGATGTCTATGAGCTTATCATGGCTCCTCAAATCATCTTAGAGCTATGCTGCATGGTCGGAAGAACGGGCGGATTGAGTGATTTTTGCTGCTGTCCCCTTGTCCTTGAAGACATGAAGTAGCCAAGAGGTACTGATCTCAGAGTGGCAGAGTGGTGAAACAAACAGCCGAATCTCAGAGAATCTGAAAACCCTTAATTGAACAACAAGCTACTATTCTGGAGGGGACAATACTATATATAGGAAATTATTGATATGGTTGCATTGTTTGTAAGGGAAAATTGACTCACCTTGGTTCTAAGTTCTAACTGTGTTTGATCTATTTTATATTTCTCAGAATGTCCCAAGAACCAAGAGGACAGCCATTTTTGTGTGTGTTAGCATGTTACCCTGCTCTCGTTCTTGAGTCCTTTTGCTGAAGTCGATACTCTTGGAAGGAATCCCGCACCACCCAGAATCACCACACTATACAGACAAGTCTTACATAGCTTTCTATCCATATTCCTCATCCCCAGTGTGGTGCTGTTTGGGCATCACTCTCTTTCTTCCTGGCCATGGCCAGGCATGGCCCTTGAGCAAGGCCAAAGTCTCGGACTGTCCCCCGAGATGATTGCTCGAAGTGTTCAGCCCGGCCCATAGCACCAACGGGCTCGTGCGCGTTGGAGTCGGGGTTGGTGTCCAAGAGGTCAATCAAAGCAAAATTGGATGGAGGTAGAGCTACTAGTAGCAGGGACGCTACTGGGTGGAGGCCATGACTATTAGGAGCAAGAAGCTACTAGTAGCAAGGACGCTACTAGGAGCAAGGACGCTACTAGGGGCTCCTGGCCGTACTACTAGGAGCAAGGACGCTACTTGGGTGGGAACAACCCATATACTTGCCAAGGTCGATCCGAAAGAACCTCCAGCTCCAGCACCAGATGACACAGCTGATGGAGTGGCGTTCTGAGGCGCATAGCCGGTGTGGATCAAAACCGCAAGGAGGTGTCGACTTGCCATCTTGTTGGGGGTCCAAGTATTCACCCACAGGATCCCACAGGCAAGTCTAGTCGATGTCTTGGCATCAGCCTCCCTCAGTCTATCTCTTGAGTGCGCCCACAACTCATGTCAGATGTCAAAAGAACCGGAGTTCTCTCGTCCGCTCAAGTTTCCTCACCTCTTTCCGCTCATTTCTCGATTCCGCAGAGGTTCAGACTCCGGGTGCGAGATGACCTCCAACACACGTGGCTGGCACCCCCTGTGTGATTTCTTTTTTTTTCCCGGACAGTTGTATTTCTATGGGCCATGCCATCCACTTTCGTTGGAGGGAAGGAGTCACTGCCGGACTTAACTGCAGCTTCTTCATCCACCAATGTCATGGCGCTGGCTCAGGCCACCGTGCAGAAGCTCCGGATGGAGCTGTCGGTGCGGAAGCTCCGGAGTCCGATCTGTCGGTGAAAGAACCACTCCCCCGCAACCGATCCCATGGTGGAGAAGGACAACCGGTGGTTTCGACCTTTTTCCAAAGACCAATCCCGGTTTTGGGGTTCCATGTGGACCTTTGCAGGGGAGTATGCATGTTGATGTTGATGTCTAGAGCTGGGGTGCACGACTGTGTAGTAGGGTTTAGTGACTCCTTGAAAGATGTATTGAAATGCATGCGTTAATTACATGTATAGATATGTATAGGTATTTGGGCTTCTTTTGCAGAGTAACTAGGGTTTACACCGGACGTTAAATAAAACTAGCTGCTGAAACGCTATGACATCGTGGTTCGAACAATCCAATTTCTTCCTGTGATTCATATTGAATCATATTCAGCAACAGCCTCAGGGCCCAGGGCACATCAGCTTGGTACACTAGTTCACTAGTTCTGGCCACAGCCACATATGATGGAGGAATCTCTCAATCCGTTTGAGCTAATATGGGAATGGGTCAAAACCCGGATTGTGAAGCTCCATCCGTGCTGGATGATGTACGCTTTCTATGTATGCT